CCTCTGTTTTGCTTTCATGTAATTATGTTCCACGCGAAATGAAATATATTTGTCGCACAAGTATTAGCATGATGTATGCAGCAATCATTAAAGCATAGGCAGCAATGACAAAAGCTAAGCCGAACCTATTATAAACAAGATTTTTATTTAAACTGTATCAGCATGTAACTTTTTGGACATACTCGTATATGTCAAAAACCTCGGTGCAATCATCCGGTAGCAATATGTGCAGTCCTAATATATTTGCTGCTATAAAAGGATGACAAACAGCAGTTAGTGTCAAATTAGCGCCCAATAATAATGCGAGTGTGCGAGTGTGAAACGGTGATTTCATTCTCCTATGCAGCAATTTAACCAATAGCTGTGGTGGTCGTGTCTCTTAATACAAGCACACACTTACTACAGATTGAGCAAACATTTGGTTGAACGCGGTTCGCACAATCAGTTGGCTGTATTTCTTCCAAGTCCTGTTCTAGCAGTAGAGCTGCTTTTATCGTCTTATCTTCCTCTGAGACGCTTGTTTCTGTAACGATGAGTACTCCATTTGCTGTTCCAGCAAACTGTATGACGTGATTTAATATAGCTCGCTTACGAGTCTGATAAAAGCAAATCAATGAAATTATGGAGAGTGCGACTAAAGCCCAATTCTCTTCTGGGAGTAGTTGGAAAAGCGGTACAGTGCATTCAAACAACACTATCAAGTAGACCAATGATGAAAACACCCATATGCTGAAAAAACTTGTCCGTATTGCTTTGCTCTGGACGTAATTGAAAGCATAACACATTATCACAGAGCTTGTTAAAAATAATATAATGCAGGTATATGCATTGATTGCTGCTAAGCTAATAAGTAATGGAATCGCAACAACGGGAATAAGGCTACCCAATGTGGCATGCTTAGATCCGCCACGCCATGGAAGACGTAATCTGTCCTGAAATGTTAACAACATCTTAATTATGCGTAACTGTTCGATGGGCCGACAAGTTAACCAGCTGTAAAAAAAATGACATTTTGTAAGTTAGTAGATATACATAGTCATCGACAAAAGTTACCGG